AAACACCCACAAAAAGACACAAAACAAAAACAAAGAGACACAAAACAACCACAAAGAGACACAAAACAACAACAAAGAGACACAAAACAACCACAAAGAGACACAAAACAACCACAAAGAGACACAAAACGAGGCAGAAAATATGAACATGTTTCCAGATGTGGAGTTTAGCTCATTAAACTGTAACTGTGCTGCTTGGTGCAAATGTCTAAACAATAATTAATCACAAAAACACGATAGTTTCCACGTCAGAGTGAAATAAACACAAATAACTGCAGCTCAAAAGTAGAAAACATGGAACATTTACTTCGTCCGAACATTTTCAAACATCAGGGTGATGATTCAAAGATGTCGCCTCAACTGAAAACTCATTTGTGTAAAGATCAAATGCAGCGAATCAGACCTGAACTTGCTTGATCCCAAGCTGGACAGTACAGGTGACATTTAAACAGAAACGTTTCAACAGCCAGTTTAATGGCTAAAATACATGAAAACACATTATCAGGCTTCAGTTTGATTTCAGTTTCCAGTATGTGACACTGATACAAGATGACAGATACACAAAGCTACACAAAGTCCTGAAAACAAGCAATTAAAAAAAGATTTCACACTCAAGAAAAGTAAGTAAAAAAAAATCACAAATGTAGTTTTTGCGTCAGTCTGCTTATTAAAAAAAGAAAAGAGTCTTTAAGTAACATCAGTGTAGAAAACAAAAACAGTTCCTTCCACCGACTGACTTCATCCAGACACACACTCTCTGACAGGACGTTACAGTTTCCAATTTTTCAGTTTGCCAGCAAACACAACATTTACACTTGAAATGTTCAGACACCAGAGAAGCAGCTTTAATATCTAATCTGATTCACTGAAGAGACTAATCTGATTGTAGTCAGCAGCTGATTCTCAGATCATCAGTACTATTACTTTGATCTGACAGGGATCAAATATACGGAAGCCCTGAAGGACAAGGGATTTCTTTTTAATTATCAGAAAATGATAAAATAAATAAGTGAGTAAATAAAACAGGATTCAAACCCCAGTCTCCTGGGTGACGGTCCACACTGTGACCTCATCATTACATGGGCTTCAAAGCTCTTTATACTCTTCATGCAGAAAGACTTTGTCAATTAAAATACATTTCTATCCAAAAGAAAAACATGACAGTAATTTCACATAACACAAGATATATATGACATATATGTACCTTGTGTTTAGAGTTCATGGAGAAATTAAAAATCACCTGGGGGGGAAAAAGAGACTTCTTTTAGAGCGGGGCAGCGGTGCACATCAGCCTCTAGTGGCTGAAATGAGAATTACAAAAACAAACACATTTTTTAAAAAAATCCTTAATAAAAAAATGAAAAAATAACTTGTCTCTCGGGGTTTCCGTAGTAACAGCAGCGGATCAAACTGACATTGTAGATGAATCAGCTGTTAAAGTGTCAGTGAACATCTGTCTGCAGCTGTTGCAGTAATTCCCCCAAAAAACAGTGGGAAAGGCGGGAAAACAGATTTAATAAGATAAATATGAGCACAGCGCAGATACGAGCAGGTACTGTAATGGTAAGAATGAAGGTTCAGTTTGTGGTGCTGAGCTCTGACTGGTCCCAGTAAACAGCTGCAAACTGGAACCAATGGACCGAGACAGAAACGAGCCGAGGCTGCGTCTCTGTCCCGCAGCTCAGCTGAAGTTTCTACCGTTCACCGATGAATTCAAACGTTTAAAATCTATTTTCTTCTTTGGGTTTTTTTCTTTCTTTCTTTCTTTCTTTCTTTCTTTTGTTTTCCATTCCCTTCTTCCATTTCTTATTCCTTTAAGCATTTTGTCGTTTCTGTTTTGAAATAAAGTGCCACATATATAAAAGCTGGGTAACTCTTTGCAAGGTGCTTCATGGAAATCGGGACCTTTAATATTGAATTAGATTTGATTAGAGCCTGGTGTACTAACTGAAAATGATCTCTTTCCCCTATAATAATTAATGGAAAACGACATATTTCTCTCCAGGAAATGATTCAGAAAAGAACAGAGCAGTAAAATAACGTGTTTGTCTGTTCGGTGAATTTCCAGCTGATCATTAAACAAATTAAAAGCTTTAAACTTAAAGCAGAGACAGAGCATCAGCCCCTCTGAGCATGAACTATCAAAATAAAATTCCCTTCCATCTCATTGGTCAGTAGTCCTCCACCCATCCATTCTCCAAAATAAAAGCATCAATTACTTCCTTCATGGCCAGGTTGGGGATCAGCTGATCTTGGGTCAGCGGCGTGCGCGTCACCGGGTCAAAATGTCCGACTCGCTGAAAGAGAGGGAGAAACTCTTCTTATTGATTTTTATTTGCTTCAACAGACACACACACATTTTATGAAACACGTGTCTCAGTGTCTTTTACCTGCAGATGCTCCTCGATGTCTTTCCGGTCGTAAGTGACTCCGCTGGGAGTGATGCACGGCTCCCTCATCAACTCAAAGCTGATCTTTCCACACAGGAAGTCTGGGATCTCACGCTTCTGCCAAACACACAGAGAACACACCGGGTCACATGTGATCCAGGGTCGTGCCGAGGGACCGGGATTGATTGACGATGTACAATTGCTGATATTTGACTTGTTTTCCCATTAAAGGGGTAATTTATTATTATTTGTAGTATCAAATTAATATTACATTACATACAATAGTACATAAACTCTATTTGTCATCTTACTGTCATCACTCAGGTTATCTATGAGAGAGAGAGAGAGAGAGAGAGAGAGAGAGAGA